GAGGCTGTGGAGGAAAGCGGGGGGACAGGGTGGGGGTGGGAACCCGCTCGGTGGTCTCTCCCCGCTAGCTCCCAGGTTCAGATCCAGCCCAGTCCCCAAGGCCTGTGAGTGGCAGGTCTGAGTCTGGTTCCTAGGGGCACTGGGATCTGTCCCCAGGACGGGGGCTTCGTCAACATTAGCCCAGCGTGAGAGTCGGGGAGGCCGTGGAGGAGGAAAGCGGGGGGACAGGGTGGGGGTGGGAACCCGCTCGGTGGTCTCTCCCCGCTAGCTCCCAGGTTCAGATCCAGCCCAGTCCCCAAGGCCTGTGAGTGGCAGGTCTGAGTCTGGTTCCTAGGGGCACTGGGATCTGTCCCCAGGACGGGGGCTTCGTCAACATTAGCCCAGCGTGAGAGTCGGGGAGGCCGTGGAGCGTGAGCTCCCGTCTCGGCCGGGGGTGGGCCCGTCGGCAGGGCAACGAGGGGAGCCAGCGCGGTGGGTGGGTTAGGGATGGGGCCAGTAACCGTTAACCGGTTACCCAGTCAGCATCACCCGTACCGGGTGACGGTTAACCGGTGCCGGGGAGCAGGCCACAGGTGGAGGGCGGTTCCAGCCGGCTGGGCCCCAGCGCGAGGCTGGAAGCCAGCAGCCAGCCCCACATGGCGCTGGGAGTGGGAGCCCCATGGGCTGGGGGTCCCCCACCCAACCTCCTGCTTAGTCGGTTAGCCGATTAACTGGGATTCCGCATCCCTGGCCTGCCTTCCCCGGCGGTGAGAATTCGGGTCTGAGGGAAACGTGGTTCTTTCCCCGGCCACATTTCCGAGGTACAAACAGACGCCCAGCAAAGAGCCCAGCTTCTTCTCGGCAGCCCGGCCAGCGAGCCCTGGGGCAGCCCACCCTTAAAGGGGGACATGCTACCCCTCAGGCCTGATGGGCTGCTGGTCAGACCCCTGCTCCCGCTCAGCCCCCTCCCAGCCCCCCGCACCCTGGCTAGCTCACCCGTGGGGCCTGCTGTTGGCAGGATGCACCGACGACATCGTGACCAGCGACCACTCCCCTGTCTTCGGAGCCTTCGAAGTCGGGGTGACCTCCCAGTTTGTCTCCAAGAAAGGTAAGGGAGGGGGGTGGGTACGTGCCTTGGCCCCCTGCCTGCCCCCGGCCCTGACGGGTCCTGTGACCTGGCAGCCAGCCCTGCCCGGCACCCGCATGCGGACCCCACAGCGGGAATGAGCCCCGAGGAGCCCAGCCCGCAGGCGAGATGGGCCGTGGGCGGGGGAGATAATCCTGGAAAGCGACCTGCACCTACCCGCCGCAGGGGACGTGAACGATCCCAGTGCCTCTGCCAGGCCGATCTGGGGGGATCCCTTCCCAGCCCCACACACCGTGATCCATTAGACCCGAGCATGTGAGCACGCGCCAGCCAGCCCAGTACCGCTGAGAGCGCTCGGCGCCACCTCCAAGGCCTGCCCCTCCCCATCCTATGTCCCAGCTCCGGCCGGGGCCATTCCTCATGCGTCCGAGGAAGGAGAAAGAAAAACCCTCCCAGACTACACTGGGAAGGGGGGGAAGTCCCGTCCTGACCCCTGCCGCTGAAAGCCTGAAGCATGAGCTTTGGGAAGGTAAGACCTGGACCAGCCGTGAGCCCCCAGCACTGCTGAGCCCTGTCCCCCTCCCGCACAAACAACCCCGTCCTGCCGTCCCCGCTCCGCCGTTCGTCCGGCTTTCTCTGAACGCTCCCTCCGTGGCGGGCCCCAGGGCCTCTGTCGACGGTTAGAAAGGTCCAGCCGGAATTTGTTCACAGCCAGTTTCCATTGGGGGTTGTGCGAACTGGGGATGTTAAATGGAGATGAATTGGCTAATTGAACAGTTGATGCAAATTGCAGTTTGATTCGCCGATCAGGGCGGCTCCGCTTTTCAAGTATAGCTACCCCAGGGCTGTTGCTACACTTCAAAGGCTCGAGTGCTGCAGGAAGCCTGGGGCCAGCAGCGTTTCAAAGCGGCAGTCCCCAGCTGACCCCGGGCTCCATGTGGTGCTTCCGCTTTGAAACACCGCAGGGAACCCGGGGCCAGTGGGGGACTCCCAGCTAGCCCCGGGCTCCACATGGCGCTGCCACTTTGAACCTCCCCCAAATCCCCTCCCCCCCTTTGCTGCCTCTTTCGGATAGGGGCAGCAAAGAGGGGGAAGTGACTAGTCGACTGATCGTTCACATCTCTAGTGCGAACAGTCCTGTAGCTTCCAGAGCATTTCTCCCTTCCTGGGGCTCCCCCTCGATGTATTTATAGCGCAACCTCCCCGTCTTGGGGAGACAACCTCTTCCAGTTGACTCCCCTAAGACAGACCCTCCACTCCCCAATTATTTAGTGGCTTTTCTCTGCACCTGTCCCCATTTGACTCCCTTAGCTGTCCCCAGCTCTGCCACTGTCTTGCCAAGTGACCTTGGGCAAGTCACTTTCCTTCCCCGTGCCTCAGTTTCTCCCTCTGTGAAACGGGAACCACAGTCCCACCCTCCTTTGCAGCGCTTGGGGGGATGAAAAGTGCTAGGTGAGCACTAGCCCAGCAAGGTGTGCTGCTATTCTTCTCCACTTCCAGGGCTCTCCAAGTCCTCAGACCAGGCCTACATTGAGTTTGAGAGCATCGAAGCCATCGTGAAGACGGCCAGCAGGACCAAGTTCTTTATCGAGTTCTACTCCACCTGCCTGGAAGGTGCATACCTGATACCCCTCCTCCCCCGGCTCGCCTGCCTCGCACTGGCGAGTGTAGACGGGCGTCTGGGTGAGTCCACGGCCTGCCAGTGGCTGGAATAAAAGCCCTACTGCTCCTGGTGCTGGTGGAGATTCTCCTGGAGCTCACGAAGCAAAGGCCTGCGTTCTGTGGAGCAGGATGGGCTCCAGCCCCCCATGGGGTCAGTTCAGCCCTAGGACAGTTCCATTCTGGCTGGCTCGTGGGTGGAGGAGGGAGGCGTGCAGTGGGACTGCTCCACTGGGTCTGAACGCCCGGGGGAGCATGTGCGTAACCTGTCGCTTCCCCAAACCCCAGAGTTCAAGAAGAGCTTCGAGAACGACATGCAGAGCAGCGACAACATCAACTTCCTGAAGGTCCAGTGGTCGTCGAGGCAGCTGCCCACGGTGAGAACTCGCCCTCCCCCTCTGCCCATCACCCTGCCACCCCCTGCGCCCCTTGTGAATGCCCATAGCAATCCCTACCTCTTTACAAAGCGGGTCAGTATTATGGGGAAACTGAGGCATAGGGCAGCGACATGACTTGCCGTGGTCACCCAATGGGCCTGTGGCTGGGCCAGGAACAGGACACACGTCTCCCAGCCAGTGCTGTGTGCAGCAGACCACAGAGCCTTCCGGTCCGGGTGGCAAAATGGGGGTGGTGGGTTCAAGTGGCAGGGGGGGCGGGGTCCCTGACACCTTGCTCTGCTGTGCAGCCGGGCCCTGTAGCCCCCGGGGGGCTGCCATACACAGCGTTTTGGCCTCCGTGCTCTGAGTAAACATCCCTTTTCTGTTGATTCCCCTGGCTGCAGCTGAAACCGATTCTGTCTGAAATTGAGTACCTCCAGGACCAGCACCTGCTGCTCACCGTCAAGTCCGTGGATGGCTACGAATCCTACGGTAAGGAGCCCATCGTGAGAGTGATGTCGCCCTGCAGTGGCCGGGTCACAGAGGAGGGAAGCATCTTGGGGTTTGCTGCTGTAGGTCCAGGTTCTAGTCCTAGCCATGGAAACATAAGAACAGCCAGACTGGGTCAGACCAATAGTCCATCCAGCCTAGAGTCCTGTCTCTGATGGTGGCCAAATGCCTTCAGAAGGAAGGAACAGAACACGGCAATTTATTGAGTGATCCGTCCATTCCCTATCACCCATGCCTGGCTTCTGGCAGTCAGAGATTGAGGGACATGGAGTTGCATCCCTGTTCACGTTGGCTAATTAGCCATTGGTGGACCTGTCCTCCAGGAACTTACTTAGTTCTTTTATGAACTCTGTTATTGTTTTGGCCTTCACAACATCCTGTGGCAGTGAGTTCCACCAGTTGACTGTGTACTATGTGAAGACATTCTTCTTTGTGTTTAATTCTGCTGCCTATTAATTTCATTGGATGACCCCTAGTTCTTATGTCATCTGAAGGAGTGAAGAACACTTCCTTCTTCCCTTTCTCCACAGCAGTCATGATTGTATAGACCTCTATCTTATCCCATCTTAGGGTGTGTCTAAACTACAGGGTTTTGTTGACAAAAGTGGACTTTTGCCGACAAAACTATACCTGCGTCCACACTGCCTTTGAGTTATGGCAACATAACGTTGACAAAACTCAGCAGTTTTGTCGACGTATGTAAACCTCATTCTACGAGGAATAACGCCTTTTGTTGACAGAGTTCTGTCGATAGAAGGCATTACTGCATCTACACTGTCCTTTGCATCCACACTGTTATGTCGACAAAGCAGCTTGCTTTGTCGACAGAACTGGGTGTAGTCTAGACGCTCTATGTCGACGTAAGCCTGTAGTCTAGACATACCCTTAGTGAACAGTTCCAGTCATTACAATTTCTCCTCAGACAGAAGCTGTAATCATTTTTTGTCACCCTTCTTTGCACCTTTTCCAGTTCTAATATATCTTTTTTGGAATGGGGCAATCACATCTGCATGCAGTATTCCAGGTGTGCGAACACCATGGATTTATATAGTGGCATTTTGATATGTAATGTTTTTTAACCTATTCCTTTCCTAATGGGTTCTAGCATTCCGATATATTTTTTGACTGCCCCTGCAGGCTGAACATATGTTTTCAGAGACCTAGCCACAATGACTCAAGATCTCTCTCTTGAGCAGTATCATTTTATACCTACAGTTGGGATTGTGCTTTCTAATGTGCATTGCTTTGCATTTATCAACCTTGAACTGCATCTGCCGCTGTGTGGCCTGTTCACCCAGGTTTGAGACATCCCTTTGTATGTCATCACAGTCTAATCTTGAGTAGTTTTGTATCACCTGCAAATGTTGCCACCTCGCTGTTTTCCGATCATTTATGTGGAACAGCATTAGCCCCAGTCCAGACAGTGGGGGACATCACTAGTTACCTCTTTTCATTCTGACCATTTATTCCTACCCTTTCTTTCCTGTCTTTTAACTATTACAAATCCAGCAGAGGATTTTCCATCTTATCCCATCACAGCTTCCTTTGCTTAAGAGACTTTGGTGTGAGACCTTACATACAAGATGGGAAGCGACTGTCTAGGAAGGAGCATGGCGGAAAGGGATCTAGGGGTCATAGTGGACCACAAGTTGAATATGAGTCAACAGTGTGATGCTGTTGCAAAAAAAGCAAATATGATTCTAGGTTGTATCAACAGGTGTGTTGTAAGCAAAACTCGTGAAGTCATTCTGCCGCTCTATTCTGCACTAGTTAGGCCTCAGCTGGAGTACTGTGTCCAGTTCTGGGCGCCACATTTCAAGAAAGATGTGGAGAAATTGGAAAGGGTACAGAGAAGAGCGACAAGAATGATTAAAGGTCTAGAGAAGCCTATGAAGCCAGGCTTCATGAACTGGGCTTGTTTAGTTTGGAAAAAAGAAGATTAAGGGGGGACATGATAGCGGTTTTCAAATATCTAAAAGGGTGTCACAAGGAGGAAGGCGAAAATTTGTTCCTCTTGGTTTCTGAGGACAGGACATGGAGTAATGGGCTTAAAGTGCAGCAGGGGAGGTTTAGATTGGACATTAGGAAAAAATTCCTAACTGTTAGGGTGGTCAAATATTGGAATAAATTGCCAAGGGAGGTGGTGGAATCTCCCTCTCTGGAGATATTTAAGAACAGGTTAGATAGACATCTGTCAGGGATGGTGTAGACGGAGCTTGGTCCTGCCTTGAGGGCGGGGGGCTGGACTCGATGACCTCTTGAGGTCCCTTCCAGTCCTATTATTCTATGATTCTATGAAAGGCTTTCTGAAAGTCCCAGTATACTATATCCTTGTCCACATGCTTTGTTTTAATCCCCACAGAGAATTCTAGTAGATTGGCGAGGCATGATTTCCCTTTACAAAAGCCGTGTTGACTCTTCCTCAACAAATCGTGCTCCTCGAGGTGTCTGACAATTCTGTTCTTCACTATCATTTCAGCCAGTTTGCTTGGGACCAAAGTTAGACCGACTGGCCTGTCATTGCCAAGATCGCCTCTGGAGCCTTTGTAAAAAACGGACATCCTGTGACAGAGACTGATTTAAGTGCTAGGTCACAGTTAATGGTTCTGAGTTCTTGCAGAACTCTGGGGTGAATCCCATCCGGACCTGGCGACTTCTGCCTGTTGAGTTGGTCCGTTTGTTCCAACAGTTCCTGTACTGACACCTCACTCTGGGACAGTTCCTCAGAATTTGCCACCTGAAAAGAAGGGCTCCCCTGTGGGACTGTCCCTCACCCCCTCTGCTGTGATGACCAACGTGAAAAATTCATTTAGCTCTCCGTAAGGTTCTTGTCTCCCTGCAGTGCTCCTTCAGCACCTCGATCCTCCAGGGGCTCACTGGTTCTTTGGCAGGCTTCTTGCGTCTCGTGGACTTCAACGCTTTTTTGCTATTAGATTTTGCGGTTTTGCTCGTGGCTCTTCAAATTCTTTTGTGGCCTGCCTAATTACACTGTTACATTTGCCTCGCCAGAGTTTATGCTCCTTTCTGTTTTCCTCAGAAGGCTCAGAGGGGAAGCCGTGTTAGTCTGTAACTTTAAAGAAACAACAAATGGTCCTGAAGCACCTTAGAGACTCACAAACGGTGCTTTTTTTGTGATGGTATGGCCCACAACGGTGTACCGTCCCCTATTTTCCCAACACACAGAAAAGGAATGGCATTTCCTCCGTGCATACCAGCACCTGTTTTCCTGGGGTGCCTCGGCTCCTGAAGGAAGCCTGCTTTGGACGCACATCGGGTTTTTTTTTTTCGGTGCAGTGTTTTGGCTCTTAAAGGGGCCGCGACTGCATTTCGACCCTTGGTTTTTTTGCTCAACGCGTTTTCCTTTTTTTTTTTTTTTTCCTTCTCTCAAGAACTTTGCCCCGGAGTACCGGCACCTTTTTTCTTACAAAAAAAGCACTGCTCACAAAAACACATTTGTAGCATCATGAGATTCTATGGGGACAACCGCCACTCTGCTCATCTGAGGAAGTGGGTTGTGCCCATGAAAGTTCATGATACCATCTGTGTATTTTTGTGAGTCTTCAAGGTGCTGCAAGACCGCTTGTAGTTTTCTCAGAAGATTTGACTTCCAATCTTCAAAGGGCATCACTTTGTCTCCAGCTGCCTCTTTTACTCTGTTGTTTAGCCCTGGTGCAGTTGTGGGTTTTTTGGTTCTCTTAGGTTATGTCTAGACAGCGGCAGTATTTCAGGATACTGGAAGTATCCCAAAATAGTTATTCTGTGTCTTTAAACGCGCCTATTATTTCAAAATAGATTTCAAAATAACAGGCATGCTAGTCCAGCATCCCTGTAACCTTCATCCCACGGGGTATGCGGACGTTTTGGAATAGCGCTTTATTTCAAAATTAGATCGAAATAAAATATGCAATTTGCGTAGCTCAAATTGTGTATCTTATTTGGACCTACGGATGCAGTGTAGATGTGCCCTCACTGTTGGTTTGGTTTTGATCTTTTCTTTTCTTTTCTTTTCTTTTCTTTTCTTTTCTTTTCTTTTCTTTTCTTTTCTTTTCTTTTCAGGGGATTCATATAGGTTGAGGCTCTTTTAGGGTGTTTTGTTCCCAAAGGTTTCCATGCTGCTAGCAGGCATTTCACTCGTGTGACTCTTCCTTTTCATTTCTATTTAACTCGCATCCTCCTTTTTATGTAGTTCCCCTCTCTGAAGTTGAATTCTACTGTGCTGGGCTTCCTTGGTGTTTCCCCCCTACAAAGGGAAAAAAATGTGGCTACAGTTGCCAAGTGGTAATGGCTAATAACTCTGTTATTTGTAATAGAAACACCTCCTCTTCCACCACTGGTGGTCTCCAGTTGACCCCCACCATGCTGTCCCCTCACTTTTATTTCTGGTCTGTCTCCCACTTCCCTCGGGGTCTCAGAACACACGTATATCTTCTTGCTGTGCAATAGTCCCTCTCCTAGCTGGGACGTCTGAACCTCTCACCTTGCTGTGTGGCAGGAGGGAAGCAGCTTAGATATTAAGTGACTTGCCCAGGGTCATACAGGGAACATGTTGCAGAGCTGAGAATCAAACGCTGATCTCTAGCAGCCCAGTCCAGAGACCCAGCTGCTCAGCCTTCTCCCTCTCACTGCATGGGCAGTGTCTGGCGTCGCTGCTTGGCGGCGTTGTCTTTACAGCTGCTTCTCTCTCGCTCTGCTGCTCTCCTTTGGAGTCATGCTGCAGGCAGTTCCACAGGCACCTCCCTCCTACCCACTCCCTCCACTCCCACGCCCTAGTGACCTCCACCGGTGCCGGCCTTCTGGCTCTTCCATCAACACCCCTTCTCTGCCCGTCCTCCAGGCGAGTGCGTGATCGCGCTGAAGTCCATGATCGGCAGCACCGCCCAGCAGTTCCTCACCTTCCTGTCCCACCGCGGGGAGGAAACGGGCAACATCCGGGGTTCCATGAAGGTCCGGGTCCCGGCAGTCTGGGGTGAGGGGGGGCCCTGTCCGCCTTCCGGGGGCAGGCTCGGGAGGGGGTGGGATTTACCGAGACGCAGCTGAGGTGTTTGTTGTTCCCCAGTTAAGCAGAGGTGCAGGCTGGAGCCGGGCTGCTGCTATTGGGCGGATCAGGTGGGGAAGTGGGGACTATCCAGCGAATGGCCGGGGGTGGCTCCGTCTGGAGGTGCCAGAGAGACAAAGACTCGGGGGTTCGCTCCCAGAGCTGGGGAGCCCGCCGGGGGGGGGGGGGGA